AAAGGGACGAACTGGGGTGGCCAGTCCCAGGTCGAAAGGTGGACAGGATGGGACGGGGGGCAGCAGGGAGACGGTGGAAGCCCTGTGCCGAATCTTGGCAGGGTCTGCCGCCCGACCCACCCTTAGGGGAAAAGGGGTTAGGAATGGGGGGGGGCGGAACGAGGGGTAGGTGAACTGGGGGCCCAACTCTCCCGTTTTTGTTTAAATAAAATGAAAATTGAGTGAAAAAGCGGAAAAAAACGTCCCACACGAAAATTCCCTTTGACTTGTAAGTCGTATAACAGTCTCCCAACTTTTCCCCAAAACTGAACTGAATTAAAATCTTCCCGAGTGGTGTCAGGAAGGTGATCGAAAAAAAGATTAATTAAAGCTTGAAGATCCCCTTTTTTAAACGAAATGTTCCCCAAAACGAGGGAGGATTTAACGTGGAGGTAAAAATCCCGCCGTGCCGGAGACAGACGGTTGCCCATGCTGTCAGAGTGGCAAAAGTCCCCAAAGAGGCAAAGGAAAACGAAAAGGAAACAAGACAGGGTCGGGTGCCAGGCAGGGCATGAAAAAATTCACCGCAATGGACTCCCGTCAAAAGGAAGAGACCTTGATGGGGGGTGGGAGCCCTGCGGGGCCAGTGTGCCAGGGAGCTTCCCCGAAGCTACCGGTCCTGCTCCACCGGCTGTCCGCAGCCCACGAGGTGAAAGGTCTTCTTACAACAAAGAGCAATCGTCTGTGGCACTGACGCCGAATGGCGCTTAAGGTCCTCGGACAGCCGGATCACGGAACCGAAGTTGTCGAGGAGACGTTCTTCGACTGACTCCGTGCAGGGATCAGTGTGTTCGGGCGCCAGTTGACGCGCCTGGGTCCTAGAATCACCGCGGATAGCTGCCGGATCCAGACCGCAGGTGCCTCGGTGGTTGACGAAATAACGGGTTTCCACAAAAGGCGGGTGTCTCACGGGCAGCTTTATTTCCAAGGGTTCGTAAGAGGGAAAACGAGGTGAGGGACGAGGGGAACAACCACTCGGAAGGAAAGCCAGCTCCGAGAGACCCGAACCAGGGGCAGGGCAGGGATTATAACTATAACTGGGAAGGAGGGTCAGGGTACGAAACATCCAACAAGGTGAGGGCTTGAGGGTAGAGTCAGGGAAGAGCAACAGGGCAACAGCCAACTGGGATGGAGGGAAGGGATGGTTTGGAGGGGAGAACCAACGGGGGTACAGAGAACTAAGAACTTTCCAGAACTGGGGGAAGGGGTACACAATGATGGAGAGGAGCAAAGGGAAGGGATAACAAAAGACTGACAACCAGGGGAGGCGGGAAACTAAATGTCAGTTGCCTCCCAAGACAGAGCAGGGGGGACATCAGCCACACCCCATCCCACAGCGCCAGAGCCCTTTGCGATGTCCGAGCATCGCAGAGGCAACGTCCCCGCCGAGGTCACGGCGGGGTTGCCCCGATCCCCGCGATAAAAGTGGGCGCACCGCCACTGCCCCCGCGGCACCATGCCCTGTTACGGCCGGCGCTCCCACAGGAGCCGCAGCCGCAGCCGCAGCCACAGCCACAGCCGGCGCCGCCGCTCCCGCCACCGGGGAGAGCGCAGGATGCGCCGGGCCTCCCGCCGCTCCGCGTACCGCCGGCGCCGCCGCTCCAGCCGCAGGCGCCGCCGCCGGCGCTGAGCCGAGCGCGGGGCTCGGCCTCGCACGGCCCGAGGAGAGTGCGGAGCGCGGCCGCGGCGTGGGGCTGCAGATGCCAATAAAGGCCAGCAAAACTTAAAGGGACTGCGTGTGCCTGTGAGTCCCTGGTGTCCGTGCGCCACAGCCCCGGTGTTCCCCGCCGGAGGGCTCGGCTCAGGAACGGGGCTCGTGTCTCAGGAGAGCCGTGACACCCAGAGCCCTCCAAAGCGATCTCCTATTCCGGACCTGCTGAGGGCAGCAAACGGGCTGGGTGAGGGCAATGCTACCAAGTGGGAGCTTGCTCCGAGTCCCTGTCAGTGACATATCACTCCTGTGGAATGATGGGGCCCTGAATCTCCACGTGAAGGGAACACAGAGTGAGCTCTGCAGAGACCTCTCAGTCACCAAATCCAAACGTTAACACAAAACAACCAGTCCTACCACTAATTCCTATCCCAAGTTCCCTTTTTACTCTTTTTTGAAATCCCTTCAGGAATGGTGACACCACCAAAGTCCTGTGCAGCTCGTTCCAATGTTTGACACCATTTTTTGGACAAGAAACCATTCGAGTTAAACCTTCCCGGCTGCACCTCTATGCACTTTTCCTTCCTCCTGTGCTTTTTCCCTGGCAGAAGCGCCTGAAGCCACGCTGATCAGCAGGAATCAGAGTCTCGTTCAGCACCTTCCTCTCGCCCTGTTCCCCATCGTGGCACTCGGTGCCGTTTCCTTAGGGACACGTACGGGCACCTACGGACACGCAGGTACTGCCGGGACTCGCAGGGACAGCCAGGGACACGCAGGGACAGGCAAGGACACGCAGGTAGAGCCAGGAACTCGCACATGCCCTGAACGTTGCTGGCTTTTATTTGCATCCGCAGCCCGGCGCCGCGGCCGCGCTCCGCGCTCTCCTCGGGCCGTGCGAGGCCGAGCCCCGCGCTCGGCTCAGCGCCGGCGGCGGCGCCTGCGGCTGGAGCGGCGGCGCCGGCGGTACGCGGAGCGGCGGGAGGCCCGGCGCATCCTGCGCGCGCCCCGGCGGCGGGAGCGGCGGCGCCGGCTGCTGCTGCGGCTCCGGCTGCGGCTCCTGCGGGAGCGCTGCCGGTAGCGGGCCATGGTGCCGCGGGGGCAGCGGCGGCACACCCGCTTTTATAGCGGAGCGGGGCAGCGAGGGAGCGGCATCAGCCCTGAGGTCACAATGCTCCCAGCGGATGTCATTGTGCAGTCACCGGTGAAGTCACAGTGGCCACCTGGACACGCCCTGATAATCTTCAAACTTCTCTAGTTTGGACACACACATTCCACAATTTCAGTATGAGAATTCTTTAGATCCTTATGAATGCGTAGGTAGGTCAGCTGGCCTTTGTTTAGTTGTTGGCTAGATTGCTAATGTATTTATAATTCCCTCGTGCTGTGCCAGGAGACAAAGGGATACCTTGAGGAATTCCCACTGACGCAAGGATTCGACCTGCGCTCGCTCTGATTTCGGCAAAACGAAGTCAAAGAATTTGTTCAGCCCTCAGACTCCACCCATTTGAGCTGTCTTTGGTGCTGCTTTAAACCGACGAACATGAAATTCTAAACTCCCCAGAAATGTTTGCATGCCTTCATCTTCTTTTTATCCTTCATTCCTTGTGTAACCCCGGCTACTGTGAAGTGAAGAATGAATGCCAGTATCTGCACAACAATCTGTATTCTATTACGAGGCTGCTACAGAAATTTGGCAACAGCCAGCAGAGTCCTGGCACCCATTGTCTGCTTCAGCCAGGACACGTCTATCAAGTGTATCTTATTTATTTAAAACTTTAGGTTAATACCTGTAAGATTATGTATGTCATTTTTGGACTGTAGCTTATTTATTTCAGGTGATGTAAGTTAGCATCCAACTTCTGTATTAGAGAAGTTTCAGAGTTGTAACTACTTCTGTTGTTGCCTTACTACTTCTGTTGATAATATTTGTTATTCAAATATTATCATATTTGAAGCTGAATTTTTTTCTGGTCTTTTAATTTCTTCCGGGCTTTATAATAAATGTATTAGTAGATCCTGGGGGTACGGTACCTTTACTATGCAGCTGTGCAGATTTTAAAAAAAATACTGTAGGACAATGCTCTGAGGCACATGGGATAGTGGGGATGTCATGTGTAGAGCCACTAGTTGGGCTTGATGGTGCTTGTGGGTCCCTTCCAACTCAACAAAATCACAAGTGATTTTGTAATTGGTGGAATAATTGTGATTACGAGAAGAAAAAATCTGACCATATGTAAGAGGCCGTCTGAAGACCCTCACTCATTTGCCTGCCGATTGCCACGAGAAGGAACTCCCTTCCCCCACTGCAGTTCCGGCTTGGAGAAGGCAACAGTGCAGGTGCAGCTGCTGTACCGTTACGTTCTGTTCCGAACGAGGCCCGGCAAGAACTTGGCAAGGAGTTGGCAAGGACTTGGTGAAGACCCAGCGTGGACCCAGCACAGAGCGGCGTTCTGCAATTCCTGCTTCACTCTCCACCTTTAAGCTGAATGAACTGTTGGGGTGACTCTGGTGGTCTCTCACTGAAGACCCCTCATCTGCCTCCTTACCACCGTGACAGACGGAGATCAAGAACCCTCTCCCCAAGGACTGAGGCTGAGACCCCTACCACAGAGAGTGGGGTGGGGGGGAATGACATGACCTGCTCTTCTCAGTAACTTCAATGGACTTATTCATTATTGTGTTTGTTCAGCCTGGATGATTTTCTGTAGATACACCTGTTCCCCCATAGCAATTTCAATAGACTCTCATTGTTCTGCATGTTCCCTCCTTTCCCTCTGTGGACTATAACTGGACCCCTGGGTTGGGCGGGATTTTGGAGACTCTCCCCAACACAACAAGATGGATCCTTATTGTCCGGACCACTGAGGACCTCGCCTGTGTTGGTAGCTATTCCCATCCCCCCTTCTCTCTCTCTCTCTCTCCTTTCTATTTCTTTTCAGACCCCACTATCGCATTTATTGGTTTTGGCCCTTAATAAAGGTGCATCTGTTGTGATTAAACTGATAGTCCCCTGCTGTTTGTATTTTGCACTTTGGGATCGGCTAACGAACCATCACGACACCCCGCTATAAGCAGATCGTGACACCATAGGAGAGAACAGGCATACGAGAAATGAGAGAATCTTTTGACAGTAACGCCTCAGCCGCCTCAGCCGCCTCCGCCGCCCTTTGCCCGCCCCCGCCGCCCTTTGCCCGTCACTGCCGCCCCGTCCCGCCCCTCCTCGGCCCGTCCCTTCCCTCCCTTGCCCGCCCGGTTCCGCCCCGTCCCTTCCCCGCCCCGGCAGCCGCCATGGAGGACGCGCTGCAGGAGGCGCTCGGCACGAAGGTGCTGCAGCCGACCGGGCACATGGGGGGCGGCTGCATCAGCCACGGCCAGAGCTACGACACGGACCACGGCCGGGTGTTCGTGAAGTGCAACTCGCAGCTGGAGGTGCGGCGGGGCAGGGATCGGGGCTGCCGGGGGTGGGCCGGCCCCGCGGTGGGAAGCAGCACCCCGGGAGTGGTGGAGCAGTGCAGTGCCCGTCCCTGTGATCAGGGACGCTGGATCACCGTGATTCCTTGGATCAGGGCAGCTGGCCGTGCTGCGGCCGCACCTCGAGTGCTCTGTCACTTCTGGGCCCCCCACACAGGGAATGGAGGGGCTGGAGCGTGGCCAGAGAAGGGAACGGAGCTGGGAAGGGAATGGAGCCCCAGGAGAGGCTGAGGGAGCTGGGAAGGGGCTCAGCCTGGGGAAGGGAATGGAGCCCCAGGAGAGGCTGAGGGAGCTGGGAAGGGGCTCAGCCTGGGGAAGGGAATGGAGCCCCAGGAGAGGCTGAGGGAGCTGGGAAGGGGCTCAGCCTGGGGAAAAGGAGGCTCAGGGGGGACCTTGTGGCTCTGCACAGCTCCTGACAGGAGGGGACAGACAGGGGGGTCGGGCTGTGCTCCAGGAACAGGGACAGGAGGAGAGGGAACGGCCTCAGGGCAGGCTCAGGGTGGGCAGCAGCTCTTGGACGCTCCCAAGGATCCAGGGGCAGCCTCAGCTTCTCTGGGAAACCTGTGCCAGGGCCTCACCACTCTCACAGTCAGGAATTTCTTCCTAATACCTAACCTAAACCTACTCTCAACAGGAATTTCTTCCTGGAAACGGTTATTAAGCACTGGAAGGGGTTGCCCAAGTAGGTGGTGGAGTCCCCATCCCTGCAGGTGCCCAGAGAACACCTGGACGTGGCACTTAGTGCTGTGGTGTGGGTGACAAGGTGCAGATGGGTCAAAGGTTGGGCTTGATGATCTGGAAGGTCTTTTCCAGCCTGACTGATTCTGAGGCTGGATGGTGTTGTGGTAGCGGTGTTGTTTGTCCAGGACACGCAGTACTATGCATGACATGCTGTTGTCACCTCCAAGGGTAGCAGTGCTGTAACAGTGTCTGCAAGTGCTGTGACAGGGGCTAAGGCAACCCAGCAGGTATTAAATTGTCTGCTGAGGGGGTGTGCACCTTCTCTGGCTTTAACTAAAACTTTTAATTCCCTGCACACAACATAAGAGCTTTTCTTAGTAAGTGACATTTTTTTCACAATTGTTCAAGTTTTTTCGGCTTTGTCCTTTCACAAGCTGGAATGTACTGTCAAAGGAAGATAACTGTATTTGGTAGAGATAAGTAAAATGCAACTCATTTCTTCAGCATCCTTTGTAGAAACAGAGATGAGATGGAATTAACTTCAAAGATACTTCATAGTTGTGTTTATCACGTAGATATAGCTTCAGTGGCAGAACAGGAGTCAAAACTTGTATTTGTCCTTCATACTTCATAACAAGCAAATGTGTTTGAAAGCATGCATGCCACTATATCTATTCCAAATGTCTCAACAATTTCTGATCAAGCTGGGGAGCTGGATGGGGGAGGTAACATGGGATAATACAGGAAGGTTTTCCTAATTCACAGAAGAGAGTTTGAATTGTGTAGCCCTTCCTTAGGCCTCTGCTAATTTTGTATACAATCCAAGTAGCTGCAAGGTCAGGCTTGGGGTGCGGGGAGGAAAGATCTGGATGGATTTTCTCTTCAGCAGTTTCCTGTTGTGTGCTCTTGCCTGTGTGTGGATCCTGAGTGCTGATTAAAGTAAACTTTGTTGAAGTGCTGTAAATGCTGTGCTGTGTGAGCAGCAGCTGCTGTGCACCGGCAGTCCATAGCCAAGTGTGATGCTCTAGACAGAGACAGTATTTCCTGATTTTCTGTGGACACTCTTGAGGCAAAAGGACAGGAGAGATGGTCAGAGGGATGGAGCACCATGAGGACAGGCTGGGAGAGCTGGGATCATTCAGCCTGCAGAAGAGAAGGCTCTGTAGGGACACATTTGCACCTTCCAGTGCCAGAAGGGAGCCCACAGGAAAGATGGGGAGAGACTTTTTACAAGGACCTGGAGTGACAGGGAAAGGGGAAATTGCTTCCACTTTAAAGAGAGTAGGTTTAGGTCAGACATTAGGAAGAAATTCCTGACTGTGAGAGTGGGGAGGCGCTGGCACAGAGAAGCTGTGGCTGCTCCTGGATCCCTGGGAGTGTCCAAGGCCAGACTGGACAGAACTTGGAGATAATGGAAGGTGTCCCTGCCCATGATAGGTGGTGGGACAAGGTGCTGTTTATGGATGTCTTAAGGTCCTTTCCAGCACAAACCATTCTGTGATTGCCTCTTAGTTGATGCCTGCTGCAAATTGTCCTGTGACTGTGTTGCATGGAACAAAACTAAAGGGGCTAGCATTCTCTTTATTTTATTCATTCTACTTCCCTTCTTTTGCTTTTACCAGATATGTTAAATTTCCCATGTGTTCTTTCTACAACCCCTGCCTGACTCTTGTAGAGAAACGTTTCTTCATGCGATGAGTGTCACTGATCTCAGAGGAGAAACTCAGGAGAGTAGGTTTTCCTTGCTGTGGGTAGCAGGTGCATGAAATAAGTCCCAAATTCAGAATGTTTTCCAAGCAAATGCTGTTGGTGGTGGCTTGGTTGGGCAAGTGTGATAAGGGGCATTTGGCTGCTACAGCTGATTGCCACCCACGCCCTTCCCTCATGAGGTAAAAGAAAACACCATGGAAAACCACGGTTCTGGTGATAGCTCTGGAACACAAGTCTGATGGGGCACAGCTGACAGAGCTCATACTTTATCCATAAGCTGTTTGCACTCCTTCAATCGCAAACAGACTTTCTAAATTACAGAGAATTCTAGAACCTAAGTCATTTACACTCACTTGTTTTATGAAGTGACATTACTCTATTTGTAAAACTACTGTCAAGTCTGATGCTGTGGTCCTGTCTGTATCTTGTGTGTGAATAAACATGTCCTCTAGCCTTTCTATGTAAGTTTTATTTATTTTCTGGAAATGCTTTGTTTGCCTGTGGCTGATGCTCATAGACACTATCGCTTTCCCTTAATATCTGGCAGGCCAGAAGAATGTTTGAGGGAGAAATGGCAAGTCTGGAAGCCATTCTGAAAACAGAGACTATAAAAGTGCCTAAACCGATCAAAGTCATAGACCTGCCTGAGTGCAGTACTGTGTTTGTGATGGAACATTTGGAAATGAGGGCCGTGAACAGGTAAAACAGTGTTATCTTTGCCTCCTTTAACCAGAAATTTTGGCTGTCATGATGATAGGGGAAACCTGTTTAATTTTTTTGTAAAGCGGGTCAAGACAATATGGGAAATCACAGAGCAGAGAGTTGTATAAAATACTTCATAATGCCTCACCTAGCAAATAGATCATACATTCCAAAGTGAGTCTGGGTTTTGGTTAGTTTTGGGTTTATTTGTTTAGCTAATTAGTGGTTTTTACAGTAAGGTTTCTTTTCACAGAAAGGAAAATGACCAGCCTGATCACCTGTGTTGTGTACTTGCTCCCTGTATAAGAGCCAGTACTGTATTGCTTTAATAAATTAATCTTGATTTCTGTATTTTCAGCTTTTACCTTCATTTTTGTAGTTACAAAATTTTGACCCTTTTCTGTGATGAGCACTTAATACGATGAATTGATCTATGTGATTCCATTAGGGCGGTGGTCATGACCAATTTCTCATCTCTCTCCCAGAACTTTTCTGCAACCAGTTTAAAGTCTTGTCCCTCATCCTACTTGTTGGCAGACTTTCTAATTCATGAAGAGCCCTCAGTGAGTCCCAAAAGAAAGGGCAGAGATGTTGCTGTTTTGGGGTCAAAAATGGTACCTTTGGCATGCAGATTTCCTGTATTAACAGGAACAAATTGAAGAAATAACTTTGCCTTAAACATCAGTGCCTGAAGAACAGGGGAAGTTGAGGAAGGTCAAAGGCAGTAAAAGGAACATAATTTTGTTAACATTGAGGCATCTGGTTGTAATATCTGTTTGTAATTACTACAAGACTCTTCTGAACCATGTAGAGGATGAGGTTTTAGTAAAAATAGGTAATAAACTAGGCCTCTGTGACACTCATCATCTAGGCATGCTAGAGGAAAGCAGCTGAAAGCAGCAGTAGAAAGAAGAGGATCAGCCTTTTGGTTCTGTTTCCCAAACAGAGTTTACCAGAGTTAGGAAAAAAAGGCACAACATGTTGTGCATGCTTTCTTACCTGTATCTTACTGAGAGTCCTCACAGAGGTGATGTCACACAGAAATTAGAATTGATAGTTTCTCTTTGTTAGTAAATTTGTGCTTGCTGCTCACTTTTAAGTAGTGGTGTCAGAAACAACCAAGTGAGTACATTTTGTGTTACTATGCAGTCTTGATAGGAAGGCAAGGTGTTTACAACTGGAATACACTGAAAAAATATTTTGTTAGAGGTGTAGAACTGCTTTTACTTACTTGATAAATCTGTTCAAGTGATCTGGAATATCAAGACCTGGTTCTGTTTATGTGTCAGTGGTACTCAGATTACTTTTTTCTTTCTTAGACACTCAGCACAGCTTGGAACTCAGCTGGCTGATCTTCACCTTTATAACCAGAGACTTGGAGAGAAGCTGAAGAAAGAGGGGAGCACAGTTGGTACAGTACACAGCTGTTTGCAAATTTAACCCAGTTGATTGTCGGTCTCAGATTCAGTCAAAGAGAGAAACAGAGAGCTTCTAGCCAGGCAGAAGCCTGAGAAAGAGTTAGAGAAGAATGTAAATAATTCTTTATCGCTCTTGTTGTTCACATTGTTTATAGTTAACTTCTATCACTGTGCGTCAAGCACTTTACACCAGTCGTTGTTTTCACTTCAGGACCAATGGAATTGGTCCTCACAGAGCTCTGTGTAAAAGAGCAATGCATTTTGAATAAACCAGAGTTTTACTCTCAGCAGCCTTTTGAGTCAAGAGTCTCCTCATTCCCGTCCTGCCTCAACAGCAACAGTTGATAATAATCTACAAAGCAGTTAAAATTACTTCTGCTACTTCAGGACAAGTTCATCTTCCCCTGAAGATAGCGTGAGAACAGGTTTGGATGAAACAGACCCAGGCAGGGATTCTTCTTGCTTTTGTTTGCTCTGTTTGGGTTTGTGTAAGCAAAACACATACTCAGTTTTGGACCCGTGGGAGCCCAAACCACAGTTTCTATGGTATCAGAGGAGATAAAAAACCTCAAAATACAATTTTGAAGAGCAGAATCTAGCTGTTTTACATCGAACTTTAAATTTAAAAAACAACCACATTGTAACCATAAAAAGAACATTAAAGTGCAATTTTTTTAATTCTAAGTAGAAGCAGCATTTTACTCTTGCATAGTTTTAAAGGTTCATTTGTGTGCTGGATGCTCAGTATTCTGTCACTGTTGTTGAATTTTCGTTTTTTGTTTTGAAAGGTAAAGGTCAAGGGCAAACAGAAGTCCAGTTTGTGGATCAGTTTGGCTTTCATACAGTTACCTGCTGTGGCTATCTTCCACAGGTAGGTTGTACTTTATCAGACTGATGTAATTTTAAATTTGTTTTCCCCTCAGTGACACAGAGGGTCAAAATTATCGTAACGAAAACAAATGAATTTTCATGGAGCCGTGAAAATAAAAAAAGCATGGTTCAGCCTGCTAAGGAAGGTAGTGCTTTGCACACTTGATAGCTCTTCAATTTCTTGGAATTTAATCACTAAGTGAAAATTATTGTAATTCATATTCTAAAGAGATAAATATTCTAAGAGAAAATTATCCTAATTAAATGTTTAAAAATAACATTAGATTAAATGATGGTAGTATTTACTGTCCTGGATGGTACCAGCACAAAGACTGCATGATACTCAAAGGACTTATTTGAAAAAGAAGCAAATCTGCCTTTTGTGTGGCGTAGAACTGACTTTTGCAGTGCTGTTCCTTCAGGTGAATGACTGGCACAGTGACTGGGTGAGTTTCTTTACTAGACAAAGGATCCAGCCCCAGATGGACATGATTGAAAAGAAATCAGGTGACAGAGAAGCAAGAGAACTTTGGGCACAGCTTCAGGTAGGAGGAATTCTCTCGATTCTCATTATTGGGAGAGCTGGGTATACTTAAATTTTATTTTTTTTAAACCAGAGTTCCTGTTTGTTGGTTTGTACCAGGTTCTGTTGGTAAGAGACTCCAGTTTTTAGGGATTAAAATGCCCTTCTAAGGTATAATGGCATTCGCCATATCTCCCTATGCTAACATTCCAGAATGAATTCCAAAGTGCCAGAGAGGTACTTTGCCTTACTGTTTGGGAAATACTGGATGGAGTTCATACTCTCATTCTCTGTAGCATGTTCATGATGAGAAATGTACAGAAGCACTTCTGTTCTGCTTGCTGTCTGTTCATTCACTGTTTGCACCTGATTAAGTGACTACACTATTGGCTCTTTGGGTCCTACATTTTGCAAATTTTGTGAGACATCCTTGAGCTTTTTAATGATGAAATGTTGGTGGCTGTTGTTACTAACCCTGGTCAATATCTGAGTTTCAAGGTTTTTATATTCTTGCTAAAAAAAGATTTAGATGACCATTCTGCTGCTCCATGTTATGAGCAGTAAGAGTCCTCTGGATGTACTCAGCATCTCTGTTGACCAAGGGCTGTGGTGGTTTAAGTGATGGGTTTTAGGATGCTTTAAGTAGGCAGATAAACATCTCCATTTTAATGATTGTGTCATTTACATGTCTTGCTTTTCTCCCCTGCAGCTGAAGATACCCAGTTTGTTCTGTGATATGGAAATTTTTCCTGCTCTCCTGCACGGGGATCTCTGGGGCGGAAATGTAGCTGAGGATGATTCTGGTCCGATTATTTTTGATCCGGCTTCTTTCTACGGCCATTCAGAGTACGAGCTTGCAATAGCTGGGATGTTTAGTGGCTTCACTAGTTCTTTTTATTCTGCTTATCACAGTAAAATCCCCAGAGCTCCAGGGTTTGAGAAACGCCTGAAGCTTTATCAGCTGTTCCACTATATGAACCACTGGAACCATTTTGGGTCAGGGTACAGAGGGTCTTCTTTAAACATTATGAGAAACCTTGTAAAGTAAGTTACTGCTTAAGCCAAAACTTCCTGTGTTGTTTGGAGAACCCCATACTTGGTAGTGCAGCTGAAGGAGTATTAATGTTAAAAACAACCTGTGAGACCCTTGACCTTGTTAAAGACCTAGAACCAGTGTCTCCTGCTGAATACCAAGTGTAAAATAGTAATCTCTTTCTGGGATAGTTGGGGATAACTCTATGAGGAAAAAAACTAATCAAAGACTGAATTTGCACAATGCATAAAGGTCTCAGTGTCCAGAAAGCATGTGAGACTGTGTAGGGTAACGCAAATAAACACCAAGGAGGTACTTAAAAGAAGTTGCTTGCTGCATTTTGGTGTGTCTTCCTCTTTCAGCTCGTCATGTCCAGTGGTGTGCGTGAGAGCAACGTTAACAACAGAGCTTGAAAGTACAGGAAAATTATGTAGCAATTTTAGGAATTACGTTTAGGAGCCGTGAGAAGGGATTTGGAGTTGAAATTAATTTTCACAGAATCAGAGTGGGTGAGGTTGGTGGGGAGATCAGAGAATGTAATCTAGTCCAACCTCCCTGCCTAAAGAGATTACTTAGGATTGGCTCTAGAGGCTTTTAAAGACCTCCATGGTTTTGCTGATTGATTCCATTGGATGCAGACTTTTGGTGCCTCCTGAAGTGCTTGTAGTCTGTTCTAATGCAATAAAACCTGCACATGCTTCACATGTTCGACTAAAGCCAGTCAAAATCTATCTAATCATGCAATTATATCAGCTGGCACCTTGTTTTTTCACACCCCCAAAGAAAACTATAAAAATACAACTTTAAAGGGGACTGAGGTCAGGGGAGACTCCTGGGATGGCTCTTAGGCTGTAACCCTCTGCTTCTCCACAAGATTCCGAGGGGATACTACTGCTTGTGCTTTCTGATACCAGTGTGTTTATCAGCAATAGTTTATTACCCTTACTTTGGCACAAGGATCAGTAAACCACAGCATTTTATGTCTCTGGGACCACAGATGTGCCCAGTGTCAAGGCTGCACCATTTGTACACCTGTGCTCGTGAGAGTTCCAATGCAGACTTAGAGAGCTGCACTGTTCATTCTGAAATATTCTGTGTAAAGTCTCCCAGGGCCTCAGACATGCAGGAAAGGAAAAGATGTAGAACCCTCTGGGCTCAGTACTTGTCTAGATAACCTGGAAAGCAAGGGGTCTTCCTTTCCTAAACTCTCATATGACAGTCCCCACTAAGTGCATGCTGTGGCTGTTGTGGTAAGAGACATGAAAGGGAAGGAAGATAACAGAGCAGCACTTCACCCTGATGGCAGCTCCACAGGCTGTGGCTTTAATACTGAATTTGTACTCTTTTGATGTAGGCTGGCAGTGCTGCTTCTGTGCAATCTACCAGGTAGGTGAGAGAGATGCATGATGCTAACATGGACTTGGAGTGTTGGGGAATGACTTGTATTAACTAAAACTGCTTTGTGCTGGATGTTGGCAGATTTCTGAGGGTTTTCTAGTTGCTAGTTTGGCGGTTACTGACACAAATTTGAAACATGTTTGGAGAAGACTGATATTTGTTACTACTTCCCTTAATTCTACTACTTTTCTCACTGGCTGTTTGACTTCTGCTGCAAAACATCTGCTTGGTAAAGTAGGTTTTACTTTCACCTTGTTAGCTGAATAAATGTTTCTCACTTGATTATTGTTGTCACTGTTTTCTGAATTAAAACCTTACGTCTTGGTTTATTCTTGGGAAATTACTTTCTCTAACCTATTAAACATCTTTAGTTTGTTAGGTAAATTGTGATCATCTGAGGTGTTCCTGGGAATGTGCATATGGCCATGGATTGGTGTGGAGAAGTGTGTCACTGAAGAAAATTTACATGTTCATTACAGTGCAGGTCGAGATGTTAATTTTCCTAAAATACTTAAATACTCTTCATTGTTAGCAGGGGAAAATGACAGTAGATTTTATGTCAGTTGCAGTTGTGAGATAAACATACTGATAAGCAGCAAGCCTTCAGAGATTACCTTTTCCTTATGGAACTGAATCCAAATATTTTTGTGATTGAAGAAAAGTTGTGTTTATGCAAGTTAGAAACAATTGTATGTAGAGTTTTAATGTAAGGATATTATGCTCGAGTTTTCAAAGCTATTTTTTTGCTGTCAGTAAGATCTGGAGGGGTGTAGAGAGGCAGACAAATGGAATGTAACAGGAATCTCTCCTGTACCATGGATCCCTTGGCTCTGAGCCCGTCTTGGGCTGCAGCCTCCTGCAGAAACTGCAGATACAAATGTGGCACTCCAGTTTTCCTCTTGCTTCCCATCTTCAGCACTGTTCCAAAATAGATCTGGTGATTAAAACTGCTGCTGGGCTCTTCCCGCAGAAGTCAGAGCACGTGGGAAGTGCTACAGAATTAGAATGTGACAAAAAGCTTTAGGGGAAAATGTATTTCCACACCACAATCACAACAGCTTTTTTTTTTTTTTTTTTTTTTTTTTTTAATATTTAGTTACTTTTGTTTTTATTTGAGGGTTTGTGTGGGGGTTTGTTTTGTTTTTCCCTTAACAACAAAACACAAAAAAAAAAAGAATTAGGGTTGAATTAGGGTTGCTTTCATTATGCAGATATAAGGCTCTCTATTTCTTGTCATTGTTTTGTTGCCAGGCCACTTTATTCCTTTCTCCACATGCTCCACTGCAACCCAGGGGATGATTCTTTCCTTTCAGCAGCTGGAGAGCCACCTAGCCAGGAATATTATCTTTACAGAGACGTTAATAAAACAAGTATTACAGGATCTGGGTTATAATAGCATGCTTTAAAGACTCCAAACTTTATACCTGAGAGTGCCAGTGCACTTTGCAAGTACATCATATTGGCTGATCGTGTTTTTAAAGTCAGCTTTAAATGGGCTTTAAATTTTTTCCCTCTTTTTCTCTTAAGAGCAGTCCTCTGCACAGCACAGTATGACTCATTTACAATGAAATGCTGTTAAAAGTTACTGTCCTGATCTTCCCCAGTACCACTGATGCAATGTAAATTACAGCCAGCAGTTCTGAGTAGAAACACAAAACAATCTCCCAGCCAAAATCACAGGAAGAATGAGGTTTATTGGTTTCCAGAAAAACAACTGGTTTGCATTGACGAGATTGCTCCTTTATTTAAAAGGTAAATTAGCATAATCCTTTCTATACATTTCTATACATGCCTCATGTTCCACAAGAGCTTTAATAAATTGTTCCCAGAAACTGGCTGCATCCAAGCTTGACTTAGCATTGTGCATGTTTTCTCCTTGTTTTCTGCTGTAAATATTTACCTCCCCTTTTTGCATTATTGCCTCTGACCTTTGCTGCTCAGTCAGTTGTCACTTTATCTTCTGTTTCACCAGCTCCTACAGACATATCAGATCAGAACCTTTTGAGGTGATTTAGCACTAAGGACACACAGGCAGTACTTTTTCAGGACCAACATGAACATTCATGATGTTCACCATGACTAGAAATTATGAAAAAGGTAATTTCCTTGTAAAAAAAAAAATAAGAAGGATAGGGAGATTCTCTGCTCTGGATGAGATCTGGATGGAGTGCTGTGTTTGTCAGTGCTACTCAGGACTCAGAGCACCTAGAGAGGTGTGGGGTTTTCTGTGCTATTGTCTTTTGATACTCTAAACTCTAATAAACAGCATTTTAAATCCTACTTTCTAGTTCAAGTGTGTTTCCTACAGAGATGACAAAGGACCAGCAGCTCTTGGTGCAAAACACATGCCTTCCACAGAAATGTAAAAGCTCATAATATGTAGAACATTTCAGGTCCAGCAGTAATTCTTTGGTTTGTGCCTATTTTTTTTTTAAGCACACTGCTTTTTCTACAGTTAAGATTACAAAAATATGAGTGATTTTAATGGAAAACAACAACACAAGTGTGGCTAAGACAGATGGGCAGTCATCTATTCCATCAGGGTGGAGTCATACCTCATTGGAAACATGCTAGAAGAAATTTTGCAAGTCTTTGACATGTAATGTAATGTATAAAATCATCAAAATCTTTTGCTCAACCAGAATTCTTGGTTGAAAGACTCATTGGTTTTTCCACCATCACAACTTAAATGTGAACCAATACTGAGAAATTGCACAGATGTGCAATTTGTTATTTATATTATTGACCATTCCCCTCTGAGTTATGTGAACACATGTAAAGATCTGTACAAGTACAGAAAAAATGCTTTACTTCACTTGAAATAGCTGATTTTACAAAATTTATGATGCTTTCTTTTTCTGGCATATTCTGCAACTTAGGACTGCACCTATTGCCAGTACTGCCACTGTTTATAGCCACAAAGCCTGCAAGCATTTGTTTTTGTGATTTATTTCATAGTATTTTTTATGTTTTAGTGTGTTTTCTCCACTGACAGAAAGAAAGCTGCAACAAGGTAAATGCTTCCAGCAGTATCAGCTCTAAACAGCCCAGTGGCTCTTACAGCTTTGCCATTATTTTGCATTTTTAGTTCTGCAATTATTTTCCCATGCTACAAATAGCCTGTTAAACATATTTTCACTTTAGCTTTAACACTCAAAGGTTCAGCAACAGGCAGAAAGATAATTTTGCTTAGCCTAGAAGCATGTAAGTGGAAGAATTATGCAAGGTAAATTAGTGAAGAACAAAGTTTTATATGTGGATGATTCACTTGAAAGCTATCCTGCTAAGTGCTTGTATATTTCTTTTTGAACAGAAAATTAGGTATGTACATGCCATTTACATAGTGTCGTGTATCTAAAATACTTACCTTAAAAGAAAAGGAATCCAGGTGAGAAAGGCCAAATGAAACCCTGACTCAAGCATCCACACTCTATGGATTTTTAGAAGATGTGATAATGTACTGCTGGAACAACGCTGTGTGTCAGTCTGGTGTGAAATAATCCATAAGGAATTTACCACCAAAACAGTCAAACTGTTCAGAGAACTGGCCTAACGTGTAAGTTTTTTCTATTACTGATATTTGAATCTCTTTATGCTTGTAAGTCTACAAGATGCTTTAAGACCACTTAGAGAAATAATTAATAAAAGGTACTGAAAATGCCAAAAATTAGTCAGTGATAGTTACCAGTGAAAAAATATTTAGGAGAGAGCATCAAGCAAAGGCATGTGACATTTGCAGCACACTCACACTTTGAGTAGTGTGCAGCTCAAATGGGTGTTTGTGTCCAGTGCACTTGGTTTTCTGGGGATTGGATCGTTTTTGGAGATTTAAAAAGCTTCATGTGCACATAACTGGACAAGCACAAAGTTCCGTGCCTAAATTAGGGTAAAACCATGCCAGGTGTGCTTTAATTAATCCATCTGCTGCTTGCATTACACACCATGCCCCAAAATTGCCCCAAAATACACAAGTATAGTGCAAGCTGCTTTTATTCAGGCTCCCCATATCTGCAGTTTGATGTGGGACGTTGTTTGCCACACAGAAATTATGGAGGTTCCCCACAACATTTCCTGCAGAGGGGGTTCATCCACCTGCCAAGCCCTGTCTGTAACTCATTTTAGTCTTTTCCTCAGACCTCTTCTTCCATTGCAAGTGCAGCTATTTCTAAGATCAAATTTAATCAGAGGAGGGCAGCATTTCATTTATTTTGACAACATTTTTTGTGGGGCTCTCAGAACATTCTTTCTTAAGCTTCCAGAGCATAATAGAATCAGTTTTATATGTAATGAACACATTTTCCCTTTTTAAAAATGAATTGATTCCCTTTAAAAATTTTAATTTAATTTTTCCCTTTTTTTTTTTTTTTTACTAAAAATAATAACTTCACCCACATCACCTCAAATTGAAAGAAAAGATAATATCCTGGAGGATTTTTATGGGTTCTGGGGGATTTTTACAAGACCACTTTCTATGTGCACTTAAAATTGCCCGAAGTGGCATCTTTTTATGCAGTTGCATGGAAATACATCTCATTTACAAGCCTTCCATCTTTAGGGCTGTGAAAGATGAGATAAGAGAGATAAGAGTTTAATTTGGAAATGCTGTAGTGCTGTGCTTCTTTTTTTCCCACTTCTTGTTTCTCTCTTTATATATATATATATATATATATATATCTAAAATTGAAAAGTTACCTTTAAAGTCTCTCATTACTGATAGTTTATCACCTTTTCTGAAGGACTGTGCCCTTGGCCAAAGAAAATAAAGTAGGTAGAAGAGCCTTGGAGTAATTGTTTCACACAGCAGGTGTAAATGGAAGGTGTGGGTGAGGTTTACCCCAAATCTGCTTTTAGGACAGACTGGTTTGTAAGCTGCTCTTTGAGACTGACATTTCATAGGGGAACATGTTGGGGGAGTTAACAAAAGTAGGGATTTTGACTTGCCGAGGTGAAAGTGTTGTTAATTAACTAAATAAATGCAGAAAGGGGCACTTGGGTTATAACAAGATGCTAATTTTTCGAATGTAGTGAAACTCTCTGAGCTGGGAGAAATAGTTGATTTTCTTCATGAAAGGGACAAACTTGCCAAGCTTTGGGAAGAGATGCTGGGAGATTAATCAGCATTTTACACTTAGATCACCCAGGAAATCTTTCTGTCACTTAACAAATCATTAGGGAGCATACATCTCTACAAGGATTTTCATTAAAGTACTGATTAACCAGATCTATGGAAATTTCATGTTGAGTATTCTGGCTTCTGATGACATTTTTAAGAGACATTTAAA